CGTGGCTGGCGCCTTAGCCGGTTGAGCTATAGGCGCCGAGCCGCCATGAACATTTTTTAAAAGTTCATTCATTCATTATTTTTGAGAGAAGTTCAAAGCATAGTAAGTATATACATTTTTTAAACTCTTTTTGATTAAGTTTAAGCCACCTTGCTCTAGGCCTTTCTACCAAAGGTAAGGTGACCAGACGTCCTGCTTTTTAACAATTTGTCCCATGTCCCGTGGTGTTTTTAAAAAGTCCCGATTTTTGGAAAGAATGGACGACAATCTAGGGAAGGGTGGGACAACGGGAAGGGAGTATATGGTTTTCGGCAGCTGAAAAGGTTAATGTAACTCCATTTGGGAATGAAGAGGTTAATGTAACTTCATTTGGAAATGAAAAGGCTAATGTAAACTCCTTACTCCCCTCCTGGGCAAGGTTGCCCAGGTGGACCAGTGCCCTACTCCTTTGAGCCACAGGTGCCACCCTATACATAATTGTTTTTAATGTATTATATTTGTAAATTGTACTTATGTTGAAATTAAAAAAAAAATTACAGGACTATTTTTGTGTTCTATGAAAATTTTTGTTGCTCCATATAGACCAAATTTTTAATCAAGAACACCCCCCACCCCATCAATGGTGTCCTGCTTTACCAATGCTAAAATCTGGTCACCTTAACCAAAGGGCCCTGAGTTGGGAGTTACGGCCACCAGCCCAACGAGTCATAACTTAGAGTTTCATTTGCCATCGGTTTTTTGTATCTCTCTCTTTTTTTTTTTGGAAACAGAGCCTCAAGCTGTCCCCCTGGGTAGAGTCCCGTAGCATCACAGCTCACAGCAACCTCCAACTCCTGGGCTCAAGTGAGTCTCCTGCCTTACCCTCCCAAGTAGCTGGGACCACAGCTGCCAGTTGCAGGTTGCAGCCATCATTGTTGTTTGGTGGCCCGGGCTGGATTCGAACCTGCCACCTTAGGTGTATGTGGCTGGCGCCTTAGCCACTTGAGCCACAGGCACCAAGTCTTTTTGTATCTCTACCTCTTTCTCTTGAGAAATTCAGAGGCAGGTTGCCTGTGACTGCAGTGGGATCTATGGGTGCATTATACCAGCATCTCATAGTCTCCCCAAATCCACAAAGACCTGTCACATATTTGTCTAATTGGCAGAATTACAAGGCCCTGGCTCGGAAGGTGCTCTGTTTCCACCCATGTGGGTGGAATGTCATTTTCGTCTGGGTATAGAGACAGGATATAAATACAGCCAGAAAGTAACTGATACTTACTCTGCAGATACCCTGCAGCTGTGATTGTCTAACCTATGGGCTGTGAATTTCCCACATTAAATCCTGCCCAAAGTATTCTTTTTTTTTGCAGTTTTTGGCTGGGGCTGGGTTTGAACCTGCCACCTCTGGAAAATGGGGCCGGCGCCCTACTCCTTTGAGCCACAGGCACCGCCCACACCATTCCTTTCCATAAACATGAGTGGTATGGGGATCCTGATCTATATTTTGTATGATTGTTGTAGGAACCAGAAATAGTACCCACTTTATTCCTTGATGTCCTGTTCTCCTTCTTACAAATACATACAAGTTGCCTTCACACTATGACATCCAGGATTGGATTCAAAATCCTAGCTGCAATGCCACCGAGGCAAAACACTCCCTGATGTGGTCAGACCCCTGGGGACCAAGGGAGCCTCGGTCAAATAGAGTATTTGTACTCTGCTGCTGAGAAACACCTCTCTGCCCGCTCACTCTAAACTGGAAATCAGCGTCTTACCCACCAGCATGTCATGAAAAAAGTTTTGGTGAAGGCTTTGTTAAAGGTCACTCATATGATATGGGGGTTTACGGGAGACCGCAGAGGTTCAGCCCAGCCAACAGAAGAGGAAGCCATTCTGAATGGCATCTACGGAGGTCTGCTTTCAGAGAATGTATTGGATAAACTTTGAACGTAAGATCTGAGCTCAGTATGTGTTGGAATTTCTCCTCCGCCGAGTACCTGTGGAAGGCTGGGCTGGTGTCGTTGCATTGACGGTCCCCAGGTTTGTCCACCGAGAGGCAAGGCCCGCCCTGGCCATGGCCCGCTGATAGTTGTCATAGAGAGTCTTCCCATACTGGGGGGGGGACACAATGGAAGAGAGAAAGGAACCCTTTTAGCTCAAATTCTGCACTTAACTGCAATATACACATGGAGAAAAAAAGAATAAATCCATGACTACCAAGTTGGTTTGTTTTGGTATGTGTTGATTAAAAAAAAAAATCCACAAATAGTTTTTTTACATGTTCAATAATTTTCCAAATGAGCAGAGTCAATTAATATTTTCACCTACACATTAGAGGACAGCTTTAGCCACACAATGCTGATTACACCTATAGATTCTTATTTTTGGTTGTTGCAGTATTTGGCTGGGGCTGGGTTTGAACCTGCCACCTCTGGTATATGGGGCTGGTGCCCTACTCCTTTGAGCCACAGGCACTGCCTTACACCTATCGATTCTTTACCTATAGAAAGACTACTTATCATAGTCTTTACCTGTCATACATTCCATCTTGTGGTTTTTTTTTTGAGACAAAGTCTTGCTCTGTCTCTAGGCTGGAGTGAAGGAGCCATCACAGCTCACAGCAATGTCAAACTCCTGGGTTCCAGTGATCCTCTTGCCTCAGCCTCCCGAGTAGCTGGGACTACAGGTGTGCATCACTGTGCTGGCTAGTTTTTCTATTTTTATTAGAGACCGGATCTTGCTCTTGCACAGGCTGGTCTCGAACTCCTGAGCTCAGGCAATCTACCCGCCTTGGCTCCCAGAGTACTGAGATTACAGGCGTGATCCACTATGCCCAGATGATCTTGTGTTTCTTAACTGTACTCTAAGCTTGCAATACTCTCCATGAGTAAATATTTGAAAAGTCTTACATGAAAATCAGCGCTTGATTCTCAGATCACTGGAGAGGTTCCTGTTTCTACATTCCCCACTATTTAAAAAAAATACTGGGCAGAACAAGGTAACGCTTGTGGCTGTACCCAAGAGGGGGTCAACAAAAGCTGGACTCAGGAAGCTGACTGGAAAATCAGCAAGGTAGGGTGAAGTGGGAATCCTCTCTCACCTTGGCAATCCGTATCCCCATAACCCACTGGTTAAGAGTTCTTGCGTCATCACAGCAGAGATACTTGATGTACTGGGATTCCTTCTGAATCTGGGGGTGCTAGAAAGAAACAGGTTCAAAGAAAATTTACAAACACTTCATTACTAGGAACTCAAAGCTCCTGTCAGAAACAATTTGTAAAAAGCTAACAACATATGTGATTTACCGTGGTGGCAGCAAAAATAACTGGCTGCAATTTTAGAGTCGTGAAGAGGGGCACCATTTAAAATGATTAAATTTTGAAAGGATTTAAGAAACCTGTCATACTATCTATCATAAGTACTTTTTACTCTTATCAATAGTGATTTTCATGTCTCCATTTATAACTTCCGAAAGCCGTCGCCTCTGTCATGTTTCTGTCCCCCAAGAGAGATCGGAGTCACTTCCCCATTTGTCAGTGCTAAGGGAACTTCCCTGATCTAATTATTATGTCACAGAATTAAGGCCTACAAGAGTTGAGGCTTTGTAACTAATAAAATCTAGTCCTAGGGTTATGTCCTTCTCTTAACTACTTCTACGCAAGAGAGCCTGGGTGGACAGCCTGGGGAAGGGATATTTCTGTCTGGTGCACTTATTACAAGTGGCACCAGGCAATCAATGGCTTTGCATGCTGTGCAGATTTACCCAGGCCTCCCAGGAGAACGATGATAGAGACAGGCACGAAGGAGAAAGAGAGATACCTTTTCTTACCCTCATCAGCCTTAATAATCTCTGTGTTATGTTTCTGTCTCTGAAGGACTGTGTCCTCCATTAGGGTGGGAACTTTGTCTTATCCACTATTGGAGACCCTGCCCCCATGCTTAGTACATGGCCTAGGGTGTGGCAGGTTTTTCACTCTCCAGATGTCAGAATCATTGTTGAAGGAGATAAACAAGCACAACGTTTTCTATTCCATTAGACGTCTTGCAGTTGGCCAGATACGGTGGCTCATGCCTGTGATCCGAGGACTCTGGGAGGCCGAGGTGGGTGGATTGCCTGAGCTCACGAGTTTGAGACCAGCCTGAGCAAGAGTGAGACCCTGTCTCTAAACAAATAGCCCCGCATTGCAGTGGGTGCCTGTAGTCCTAGCTACCTGGGAGGCTTAGGCAAGAGAATTGCTTGAGCCCAGAAGTTGGAGGTTGCTGTGAGCTATGACACCAGGGAACTCTACTGAGGGCGACAAACTGAGACTCTGTCTCAGGAAAAAAAAAAAAAAAGAACACTTGCAGCCATCAGGTGAGCTACAAGCAACCAAACCCATGTTCTAAAATATGTGGCATGTGAATTTTCATGGATCACTGTAACTTTTAATAAACTTCACTATATAGAAAAGTAATTACCACCACAACTATTGTGTAGATGGGTGGGTGGGTACTAACTCTTTCTTCTTTTCCTCTGTTCTTCAGAGGAGTTTGTTAGTCCTACTAGTGTCAGCACACATTTCTTTCTTTTTTTTTTTTTGAGACAGAGCTTTAAGCTGTCCCCCTGGGTAGAGTGCTCTGGCATCACAGCTCACAGCAACCTCCAACTCCTGGGCGCAAGTGATTCTCCTGCCTCAGCCTCCCAAGTAGCTGGGACCACAGGTGCCCACCACAACACCTGGTTACTTTTTGGTTGCAGCCATCATTGTTGTTTGGTGGGTCTGGGCTGGATTTGAACCTGCCACCTTATGTGTCTGTGGCTGGCACCTTAGCCACTTGAGCCACAGGTGCTGAGCCTCAGCACACATTTCTGATAGTGCTGAAGGTGACATGGAAAGATCAAGACAGCTGGAAGCATCTGTCTATATCTTTCAGTGGACAGGACAGGAGAGAAGTGGAAAGAAGCCGTCCAGTTCCTCACTTAGCGTTTTGTGTTTTTTTGGATACAATCTTACTCTGTCAATCCGGGTAGAGTGCTATGGCATCACAGCTCACAGCAACCTCAAACTCTTGGACTTGAGCAATCCTCTTGCCTCAGCCTCCCCAGTAGCTGGGACTACAGGCACCCACTGTGATGCCCATCTAGTTCTTCTATTTTTAGTAGAGATGGGGTCTCACTCTTGCTGAGGCTGGTCTTGAACTCCTGAGCTCAACAACCCACCTGCCTCAGCCTCTCAGAATGCTGGGATTACAGTTGTGAACCACCATGCCTGGCCCTCTCTTAGGGTGTTGCAGAGACCTCTCCACTTCACTTTTGCTTTCAGCTTAATCACTGACTTCCAAGGTGTTTTTAAACCTCAGTTGGAACCTGAGAGGCAGCATCCATCCACACTAGTTACCCTCCTGGTGACAGTGACCCAGCTGATAGGAGCCTGTGGAATTGTTGTCTTTACCCAGAAAGGATAATGAGACACAGACTCTAAGAGCTTGATAAAACGTTAGTAATTTTCAGTTTTACAAACGAGAAAACAGGCTCAGGGAGGTTACTATACATTTTACCTCATGACTTATCACCTAGAATTTCTGTATTTATTTTAAGCTATTAAGCCCAATCCCACATTTTAAAGATGCTACAAAAAAAAAAAAAAATTCAGAAGTGATCAATAATTTTTCTTTTTCGATTTTGGAGGCAGTTGAGGAAAGTCTACTCTCTTATCTTTAAATAGATTGTTTTCTTTATTTAGGTCCTTCAGCCCTCAGAATTTGTATCAGCATCGCTTGAAAAACAGTCAATTCCTTCAGCTATGGCAGTCCCTCTGTCTCTGGAGAGGGGACAGCTTTGCGTCTGCGTCTGAATGTCGCTGCAGTTCTCCATCTGGCCGGCAGATGGCAGAAGACGCTTTCTTTTGAACAGTTGCTGTACATTTCATTGTTATTGCAAAGTCAACGCTTACTCGTTATTAATTCTGAATGTTAGATTTAATTTTTTGCAAATGTTACTCCAATAATCGTCCTCTCTGAAGGCCCTTAAAATTGGGAATCTCTCTTAACTCAGGTAAGGTGACCCAATAGCAAAAAGGATTTGTTGCCTTAATTAACCTGAAGGTCATACTGATACTCTAAGCAGAGCTTATTGGATGGAGTGTAACAAACCACAGATGCCCGAAGCATCTCTCTGACAATACAACTTGCAAAGCCAGACCGATGCCCTTGTCTTTCAGCACCAGAAACACAGCCTTGTGACCTACCGGTAGCATTTCTGACGGTCATTGGCAGTCTCTTCTGTCCCTTTGGTGTTTGCAATTCTTCTTAGAAGGCAGTCCCCCCCTCCCCGCCCCGCATTTGGCAAACTGGCATTATTATTTTGAGTTTGGTATATTAATTTGGTTTGGTTTGGTTTTGGATGCATGTCAGGTGACAGCCAAGTGCCCAGGGCAGATTGTCAATCTCACTGCTAGCACAAAACCAGCTGTTTGCATGAAGGTACCATTTAAGCAGGGAAATAAACAATTTCTTAAGTTTGTTATCCAACCAAATATAGTAAACCATGGGCATTCCCTTATGTTCAGCTTGCAGACATAAAACAGAGGCAATGACTCTTTATTTATTTTATTTTATTTTTTGAGACAGAGTTCACTCATGGGTAGAGTGCCATGGGTCATAGCTCACAGCAACCTCAAACTCCTGGGCTCAAGAGATCCCCCTGTCCCAGCCTCCTAAATAGCTTGGACTACAGGCACCCCCCATACTGCCCAGCTAGTTTTTTTCTATTTTTAGTAAAAAACGGGGTCTTGCTCTTGCTCAGGCTGGTCTTCAACTCCTGAGCTCAGGCAATCCACTCGCCTCCCAGAGTGCTAAGATTATAGGTCTGAGCCACTGTACCTGGCCCACAAGAACTCTGGTTGATGAGGTCTGCACACCTCGCCACAGGCCAGTCTCACCATTTCCTGACACTACATGTGTGCTATGAATGTATACTGGGGAATTAAGTATCAGATGATTCCTAAATCTTGCAGTCCTCAGATTTTATGGTTCTTAGATGAGCTACGTAAGGGGCATAAGGGTCCTTTCTGGCTCCCTTGGCAATGCAGAAATCCCTGAGGCTTCAGGGCCATCATACACAAGTTGCTGTGGCCTGTTCTCCTTTGTGTCTTGAACTCTCCCTAGGAGCATCCCTACCTAAGCCTTTTGCTGAAAAATTATTTACAAAGAGGTTTAGCACATTGACTGCCACACTAGAAAATTTTTTTCCCTTGGGGCCATGGTGTTTTATTAGGTCAACGTAGGTCAAGAGGCACATACTTCACTAGGCCCCAGGCTCAATTACCCTAAACTGAACACAACTCACGGGGCAGTTAATGTGTTAAGGAACACGTTAGTTCAGTGCTACTGGCCAGACTCTTCTACAATTGATTTGATTGTTCCTGACCATAAAAACAGGCAGGCTCTCTTAGGATTCTGATTTTGGACTTCTGATTCCAAAATCATCTTAAGTATCAGGTTGACTGAGCTATTACAGTGTCAATACAAAAAATGGATGCTCAGTCATGAAAAAGACAACTAGGATGTCTAAACGAAAACGACGCAATCTATCCTGAGTCCTCCAGGAAGCCAATAATTTCAACCAATTATTATTTGATGTTTAGAATAAGTAACACAATTATGCAAGGAGTCAAAATTATTAAATCTGGGCTGGGTGAGGTGGCTCACGCCTGTGATGCTAGCACTCTCGGAGGTGGAGGAGGGGGGATTCCCTGAGTTTGAAAGAATGAGACCCTATCTTTACTAAAAATAGAAAAATCAGCCAGGCACAGTGGTGGGCACCTGTAGTCCTAGCTACTTGGGAGGCTGAGGCAGGAGGATCCCTTGAGCTCAAGAGTTTGAGATTACTGAGAGGTATGATGATGCCACAACACTTTATCCAGGGTGACAGAGTAAGACTCTGTCTCAAAAAAAGTATTATTAAGTCTGAGTGATTTGGCCTAAGTATTGCATCTGACTAAGAATAAACACAAAGAAAAACTTACCAATGGTTTTCATCTCAGAGGTCTGTAGACATAAAGACCCTCAGTATCTCACATGTGTGGTTCTACTGTATTTCCCTGAAAATAAGACCTACCCCCAAAATAAGCCCTAGCAGGATTTCTATGCATTTGTTAAATATAAGCCCTACCCTGATAATAAGACCTAGTGATGGGCATGGCTAGGCAGCGTATCTTTTTTTGGAGTAATATTAATGCTGTCAATCTTGATAGGGTAAAAATAAAAGTATAGGCGATTTAAAAGAGGAAAGGGGCAATGACAAAGTAAAGGGAACTTTGTCCTTCTTTAATAGAAAGAGTAAAAGTATTATGTGTTGGGGTTTTGTAAAGATAATGAAGTGGCAAATGCATTTCGGTGTGGAGAGTAAGACATCCCCTGAAAATAAGCCCTAGTGTGCCTTCTTGAGAAAAAATAAATATAAGACAGTGTCTTATTTTCGGGGAAACAACATAGTAGCACATCTATTGATGTGACTGATGTGAGACTTTAATCTTTAAAAATCTAAACCATAGTAAACACTTGGCAATGTGTTTTTGCCTGTTGACAACACGTTCCTTAAAAAGTTTCATTACCTAGTGATTTTTTTAAAGTTTTATTTTCGCTCTTTTCATTTTTTTCTAGAACATCTTGGCACATTTCTACTTTCTGAAAACTTCTTTTCAGAATGATTCCAATAAATAAAGAAACATAAACTCCTCTCAGTCTGGAATGGAGAGATTCTAATCTCCCAATGGAATGATTCCAATAAATAAAGAAATATAAACTCCTCTCAGTTTGGAATGGAGAGATTCCAATCTCCCAATGGAATGATTCCAATAAATAAAGAAATATAAACTCCTCTCAGTTTTCTCCATAAAACTATAAATTAAATAGGTTCAAAATTTGAGCCTTTTGTTTTTGGACATGATAAAGAATCCCACAGAGAGACGGTTTAGGCTTCGATAGCAGGCATTGGGGGAAAACGACCCAAACTAATAAAAATGTTTTTCCCCTTCCTATTTTGGTTTTAAAAATTTATTGTATTTTATTTTTAAATTATTTTATTTATTTATTTATTTTTGCAGTTTTTGGCTGGGGCCGGGTTTGAACTCGCCACCTTTGCCATGTGGGGCCGGCGCCCTATTTCTTTGAGCCACAAGTGCTGCCCTTAAAATTTTTTTATTATGGTACACTCGTGGAGAACTATATACCATTTAACATTTTTTTTCCTTAAAAGAAAATATTATCCCAACTTGCTTACAAATCTAAATTAAGGATTTCTTTACAACATACCTTTAAAACAAAGCAGTGGTCGGTGGGTGCTTTGTGTTTTATTTTACACTGAATCCCGTAGTAAATATTGACATTTTCGAACTGTATAAAACAGGCCAGATCTCGAGATGTCTGAAAGAGAGGGAAAAAAATAACCTCAGCTGAGATGACAGTTAATCGTTTTCCAAGGTTGTTTTTGAAGGCACGACAAAAGATTACACATGAGTAGAGAAAATACGGACTTTTAGGTCATAGACATAAAGGATGACCATATATAGTTTTCTAAAAACCAAGCCTGTATTTTCAGAGGCAAAAGAGAGTGAATGTTCTCGACACAAAGAAATGATACGTGTTGGAGACGATGGATCTGCCAATTAGCATGATCTGATACCTGTGTGTTATATGTGTGAGGATATCAGTGCGTATCCCATGAATATGGACAATCATTATCTGTCAGTTTTAATAAAAGGGTGCAACCAAGATAAAACAGCGTGCCGCTGCCCCAGAAACACCGGGAACCATGATACTGCAGTCCCAGTGACTTCCTGGGGACTCCCAGAGCCAGAACCGACTGACCTTGAGATGTGGTTATTGATGCAGTCAGAATAAGGTCACCACCTACTCAGAAACTTCATTCTGGCTTTTGCAATGCTCAGTCTGTGATGGATTTTGTGATCGAGCATTAAAAGAAGAAAAAGTCCCCCCACAGGACAAACAGTGAGAGGTAAACTCGAGGCCCAGTAAATTAGCACACACTTCATGCCCTTCTTCCTGGGAAAATGGATTTCTTTCATGCTTTCTTTTTGCTGCAGGCACATTGCCATGGCAACAGAGCCCTGTCTTCCATGGCTAATGTGCACTGTGCACACTGCCACCTCTCATCTACATATCTGGTTACACTTCAGTTACAAATTTGTTCCCTCGCTCTTTTTTTTCCCCGTTCATAGTCTATACTTTCTTACCTAGTGAATGAATAAAAGGCAGAACTGTTACACCTTAGTGTCTAATTATTCCTTTGTCTGGGGTTGTGCATTTTTTATCTTAAACGGTATTTTCTTCCGGAGTTTCAACGTTTTAGTTTTTTAATTAAAATGCAGACTTGTAACAATTAAAAAATAAGTCTGCAATAAATCCATGTCTTCCTTCACTAGACCTTTTTCCTATTCTCCAGAAGTACCACGGTTCATAGTTTGGTAGTATTCTCCCAAATATTGTCCAGTAAACATAATTAACTTATATCCTTTCCTAGGGTTTATACTCTCTTTTTCTAAAGATATTTCAATCAACGTAGAAGTTAACTTGATAGACGAAATGAGGTAGTGGGAACTATTTTTTTTTCCAAATGGATAGACAATGATTTCAAGGCAAGTGCTTGAATACCAGATTCTTTCCCCACTGATGAAAAATGCTAACTTTAATTTGCCTTATACATATATTAGATGGCTCTTTGTGAACCCTTTGGCTCTAGATGTACTGTTTTTATCTAATGTTTTGATACCTGGAGGAGTTGCCCTACCTCGATGTTCTTTGCAATTTTGGGGGGGAGATCTATTTGGTATTTTGGAAATGCGTCCCCCTCTTTTATACAGACAGGATCTCACTATGTTGTTCAGGCTGGTCCCAAACTCCTAGCCCCAAATAATTCTCCCTCCTCAGCCTCCCAGAGTGCTGGGCGTACAGGTGTGAGCACCGTGCCCAGGCTGGAAGTGTCTTTTTCTGATGAATTTTAGAATTGGTTCATGAACTTCAAATAAAAAAAAAAATCCTGCTGAAATTTTTTCTTTAGTCACATTGACTTTAGAAAAAATATGGGGAGAGGAGAATTAATATCTTTTTCATCTAGCAACACAGTACGTTTCTATTTATTCAGTTCTACTTCACTTCCTTTCTTAAATTTTATATTTTATGCCATATAGGTCTTGAACATTTCTTGTTAAGCTTATTGTCAGGTGCTTTGTTTTTACTATGTATGAAATATTTTGCATTACGATTTAATTTGCATATTGTCTATATGAATGAAAATAACGTATTTGGTATTTTTTTGGTCCTCATAGTTTTTTAGTTGGGGGTTGGGTAGATAATCACGTCAACTGTGCAAAATGAGAGTTTCTGCCCCTTCTTTTCCAATACCTCTACTTGTTATTCTTTTCCTTGACTTAGCTGGTTACTTCCTCCCTTCCAATATTCATGGCAGCAGTGACACAAGGTACCTGGCCCAACCCTGTAAGAACACTTTTATCGTTCAGTATATTGTCTGTTATTGGTTTATTTATATGTCTCACTTATATTTAAATGCTCAAGACATAACATTTCTAAAATAAAACAAATTCTCTGTAGGTCGATGGTTAGATCTCTGGTGTGGGACAGGATGATGGATGGCACAGGTGGGAAAGAATCAGATCTAAGACTGAAACCAGAGGGAAAGGGGCAAAGGAGGACAGGTGCTGCCCTGGCCTGAGCATTACCCACAGTGCCCTTCTCGCCTTCCACAGGGATGACACAGTCTCCTTAGGAGAGGAGCAGACCCGGACGTTCACCAGGACTTCACCTGCTTCCAAATGTGGAGTAAGCTTGACCAGAGAAAGCGTGCAATCCCTAAATACGCCATTTGGTGGCGCCCTGGATTCTGAAGGAAAGGCAAAATGCTTTGGCAGATCCTAACTATACAGGATGGCCATAAAGTTTGTAAAACTATTTTAAATTGCAGACGAACTTTATGGCTACCGTGCATATATAATAGATTAAAGATACATCCTAATTCTTCTAAAAGGTGAACAGAAGGTGGAAATGTCACCACCCTCTAAGTATGGTTTTAGAGCGGGGTACAGTGCTTCACGCCTGTAATCCCAGCACTCGGGGAGGCTAAGATGGGAGGATAATTTGAGGTCAGGAGTTCGAGAAAGGTCTTAGAGAAAGCTAATGGTCAGAGTGAGAGTTAAAATTACATTTTGAAGAAGAACTTAACATATGCTTTTAGATTCGAGGCAGTAATCCCAAGTCACTAAGTTAACTGATGTCTAAAATATTCTGTTAAATTAGGCAGGAAAATGCATGAAGTACACCTCAGAGAACATTTAAGTGTTCAGAGTATAAGGGCTAAAATCTTGATGAAGATGTTATCAACGCTTCTAATGCCTCTGAGTCCAGAAAGAAGAAGTTTTACTATAATTATTGTAGAACAAGAGGGTTAAATACAGGTAAATAAGGTCCTCCGAAATAGATATGAAACAAAATAATCTCTTGGAAAGTGCTTTTGGTATAATTTTTGAAACTTCATTTTAAAATAGGTAAAATTTTTTTATTTTCAAGAGAACAGTATGGAAAAAATTCAAAAACATTCCAGTAATTCTATCCCACTGGGCCGTGTCTTTCTATAAACATTATTGTACCATGGATCTTACAGCTACTGGGAGTGTATTTAAATTGTCACCTCAGTGTATCTTTTTTTTTGAGACAGAGTCTCACTCTGTGGCCCCAGACTAGGGTGCTGTGGCATCAGCCTAGCTCACAACAACCTCAAACTCCTGGATTCAAGTGATCCTTCTGCCTCAGCCTCCCTAGTAGCTGGGACTGCAGGTGCCCTCCAACACACCTGGCTAATATTTATATTTTTAGTAGAGTTTTGTTCTTGCTCAGGCTGGTCTGGAACTCCTGAACTTGAGCAATCCACTTGCCTTGGCCTCCCAGGGTGCTAGGATTACAGGCGTGAGCCACTGCCCCAGCCTCACCTCAGTATTTCTGTCCTACTTACATGAAATGCTTTATTGCTAAAGCGCTTATTTATTTATTTTTTCTGACCTTAGTCTTTCCTTTGGGTACATAATAAATTCCAGAAGCCCGTAAAAGAAAATAGCGCCTTTTCCACGATTTCTTTCCATCTTCTTTCAAATAAAGAGCGCCTTCAAGTTCTGGCACAATGATTGACGTTCCACAGAAGCTTTCCTGAAATTAAGATTCCGATGACATAAAACCCGCAAAAGATAAAGCACATGTTTTTGTTCACGTTGAAACAAACCTGCAAATTAGCCTTGAAACTAAAAGTCAATTTTGTCCATAACACATGTAATGAATACACCTATTTACATTATATGCTATTTGCCAAAACAGAGGAAGAATAACACAGGGCCGAGAACCCTGGCTTCTGAGTTAGACCTCAAGTTACCTCATTAATGAATCAATAGCCTGATTTCATAAGGTTGTTAGTACAATCCTGGTATATTGTAAAAATAAGCATTTAATAAAGGCTATTACTGTGTACATAAATTCAAAAATAAAACAGTTAGTACTTTTCTGATAAGTAAAACATAATTACTATTTCATTGCTGGCAAGTAGAAAAAGTATAATATATAATTCTAAACAGAAATGAATACCTTGTATAATAATAGTTATATATTATTACTGAGATAGTTTTCAAAGAATGACAAAGGCAATTATTAGCACTACAGTATCAGAAAAGAATGACCAAGCACATTTTCCAGTTATAGATTTTTGCCTCTCAAAACTTGCACGTGATTATATTCCTTAATACATTTCTTTTAAAAAGCCAGAGGACAAAGTTACATGTGATTCTATATGTCAGTTCAAATGCTCCAACTTATTTTTGGCTTTCTTTTTATAACTCTCAGCATCCTTTCATTTCATCTCCTAAATGCAAAATAACTGAATTGTGCATCTTCCCACTAAATTTATATGGAGTAGAGCCGGAAAAGGTTCTTGCTCCCATTTCTCCCAATTTCCCCCAAATTAGTTATTGTTTCAACAATTTCTTAAATTCAAGCAGATTTTTGGCCCTGCTTAGACAGGATAATGATGGTTTTTTAAAAAGGTGCCTTGTATTTTCTTTAACAGCCAACTGTAAAGCACTGTGGAAGTCCTAGAACAAGGACTATGCTGCTGGACCTTCCTGAGCGTGGTCCCAGGAATCAGAGTCGGTGACAGGTGCTCCGGGTCTTGGCAAACAGCAGGTCCTGGTACCTGCTTCGTTTGGTTCAGGGCTGAAAAGTCTGGCAGGGGATAGAGACCAGCAGATTTGGGGACCTTAGTGAACGGTAGAGGGCGCTCTTCAGCGTCTGCCAATTGGCTCCAAGTGGGAACCCTGGCTTAGGCATCATCAGTTCTTCTAAGTTTTCAAGAGAAGTCCAAAATTCACTAACTCAAGAAGCCCCACACACTGTGGTGGGTAAATAAGACCCGGCTGTGGCTTTAGCATGCCCATGTGATCTGGCTTCATTTACCTGCCTTACATGCTGGGAGCTTTGATTTTCAACATAACTAGTAGGTGAAAACTCATTAGTAGTTTCCAATAAAATAAAATAAAATAAAATAAATCAATAAGGGAACTGCTGGAACACGTCCTGGTGGTGGTCATCACAGACCTTGTACAGTAACCACCACGTTGTGGTTTCACCATCTCGCTGAACCTCTGTAAGGATCCAGCATGATTCTGAGGTTTGCAGAGGTCTGAGTCTTGCCCATTAGCACGAGAACAGTGCTGGCACCTATGCCAGTCTCTAATTCCAAATCTCATACCTGTTGTTTTTAAGACATAGTCTCATTTTGTTGCCCCAGGCTGGAATGCCGTGATGTCAGCCTAGTTCACAGTAACCCCAAACTCCTAGCTAGGTGCATGAGATTCTCCTGCCTCAGCCCCCTGAAGAGCTGGGACTACAGGTGCCCACCACAATAGCCAGCTAATGTTTCAATTTTTAGTGGAGATAGAGTCTTGGTTTGCTCAGGCTAGTCTCATATCAACCTCAAACTCCTGAGCTCAAGGGATCCTCCTGCCTCAGCCTCCCAGAGTGCTGGGATTACAGGTGTGAGATACCACACCTGGCCATCTAACTCTAAATCTCTCTCTTTCTACCACACCTGGCTGCTGGAAGACCATCTTAAAGTTTACTTTTAAAAAGACATGTGAAGGCTGGGTGCAGGGGCTCAGACCTGTAAACCTAGCACTCTGGGAGGATGAGGCAGGTGGACTGCCTGAGCTCAGAGGTTGGAGACCAGCCTGAGGCAAAGTGAGACCTTATCTCTAAAAATAGCTGGGTGTTATGGTGGGTGCCTGTAGTCCCAGCTACTTGGGAGGCTGAGGCAAGAGGATCACTTGAGCCCAGGAGTTGGAGGTTGGTGTGAGTTATGATGCCATGGCACTCTACCAACGGTGACAAAGTAAGACTCTGTCTCAAAAAAAAAAAAAAAAGTGTGACATCCTCACATCTGATTTCTGTTGCAGCACGTAGGTCATGAAAGATATGGTTTGTTAGGACCTGAGTTTTATGAGGATTCAGGTCTTTTTAGTCAAGAATTACTAATTCAACTGCCTGAAAAGCAAAACATATTGTTCAAAGCCACACATTTAACAACTGACTCAAAGCAACCGTTGGATGATCTCAATGGCTATAATTTAGTAATCATTTCATTTTAAAACCTCAACTTCACATTTCAGCACATTGTCAAACTTTCCCATTGTTCTGGGAAGCAAATAGTTTAAAAATAGATACAACAAAAGTCCTTCTCCTTTCTTCTTCTTGGTAAAATTAAGCTTACCTCAAGTAGACTCTCCTTGTTCTTAGCATTCATTTTCTCATTGGTTTCCTTGCCTTCTTTCTTCCCTTTGTTATTTAAGTAGAAGTTCTAAATAGAAGGATAAAAGATCAGCTCAGTAAGTCTTCATTACCGTGGTAGACACTGCAAGGAACTCACGGTCTTGCTGGAGGGAGAAGGTGTACGCATGCGCAGTGAACAGGTAACCCCAGAGTACAGAATCAGTCACCCCGGGGCCCTCTGAAATGCAGATTACTGCATCACTGAGGCTGGAGGAACACCTCCTCTCCCTCCCATAGGGCACAATCAATGAGGAAACATAAGATAGAAAAGGCTAGCCAAAAATACGATGTCATTGAGCTGTTAAATTCCATGTTCTTGACAATGGTCCTCAACATTTTTGGCACCAGGGACCAATTTCACGGACGACAATTTTTCCATGGGGGTGTATGTGTGAGGCGGGTGGGATCTGACAGGAGGCGGAGCTCAGGCGGTGGCTCACCTCTGTAATCCCAGTATTCTGGGAGGCCAAGGTGGGTGAATTGCCTGAGCTAAGGAGTTCAAGATCAGCCTGAGCTAGAGTGAGACCTTATTTCTTAAAAAAAAAAAAAAAGCCAGGTGTTGTAGTAGCTACTTGGAAGGCTGAAGCAACAGGATTGTTTGAGCCCAAGAGTTTGAGATTGCTGTGAGCTATGACCCCACACCAGGCACTCTACTGAGGGTGACTCTGTCTCAAAAAAAAAAAAAAGAAAAAAAGAAAGAAAGAAACAGAGGATTAAGTGATTCACCTGAGGCTGAACAGTGACAGAGCTTTGAGTTCTTAAAATTTTTTTCTCAGCATTAAAAATGCTCTAAGTACAGAGTCAGGCATGGTGGTGCATTCCTGTACTCCCTATTACTCTGGAGGCTGAGGTGGGAGGATTGATTGAGCCTAGGAGTTGGAGTCCAGACTGGACAACATAGCAAGACCCTATCTAAAAAAATACTGTAAATATTATGGGAGAGAACCTGGACAATAACGTGAATGTACTTAGTACCACCAAAGATTACACTTATAAATAGTTAACATGATAAATTCCATGTTATATGTATTTTCCCACAATAAGACAATGTGACCCAACACAAGATGACTTTTTCCACAAGTGTGAAGACACAGATTGCTGCTAAAAAGCAAACCTTGACTGATAGGGTGAGGGATCTGAATCACAGATGGTGTAAGAATGAACAGAGAGGGTGATGAAGATGGCACAGCACGTTTCTCATCATCATCTGAGAAAGGGGGAGCACCTGTCACCCCCCACAGGGACAGGGAAGGGAAGACCCCGTCCAAACTGTGCAAAGCCACATTTTACAAAGGTGCTTGAAAGAGTCGGGATCTGTAGTGTGACTTTCTCGGACAACACCCCTTATATTTTCAGCTTCTGAACAACTTTTTACCTTCTGAGTGAGGGTGCTACCCGGTGTTTTGTTTTCCTTTTAAGGAAAAAGCAAAACCACAAAGTGAATCTGAGCTGGAGGAGGGCAGTCCTTTCCATCACTGACTGCCCCCAGGCCACCGCTTTCACCTGTGGTGTAGGCAGCCCACTCAGTGGGGCTGCTTCGTCACAAGCAGGGGAACTCAAAATTTAATCACTCTCTGTACAAGTCCGAATTGAGCAGTGAGGAAATTTTTAAAATAGAAAATGAGACTCTGGGTCCCAGCCGTCTTTTCTCACAGCTTCTGCGAGTGAGCTGTGGGACAGCTGCATAAAAAGAAACAGAGAAAATACATTACTTATAAAATGTCGCCTTCTTAGAATAAAGAGGAAATTAAGCAAGCAGTTGTGAGTCCATGAGTAAATGTTTGGGAGTACCCTCACACATGCAAAGCATCCCTGTTCTTAAGAAGCCTGCCATCACACTGAGAAAGTAAACATCAGATGACAGACGGATGGATGACTCTATCCCTCCAGAGCGGGGAGATATGTGACACTGGGTAAAACATGAGCCACGTTCGATAGATTTTCAGAGAGGAAGAAATTACTATGGGCTGAGATGCTGAAGGAAAACTTTGCAGAGGAGATCAAGGTTTGCATCAGGCCTTGAAAGATGTTGCATATTCAGCTAAAGGAATCAAGAGCAAGGGTAGCCTTCCAGGCAGGAGAAGAAGCATCCACAAAGGCACAGAGGATGGTAAATAGGGGGTGTCTGTGGAGTACCAGGGAAGAGCCAGGCTGGCGAGGCCCAGGGCATTGGCACAGTCCACCTGAACAGAGATCAGACCAGCACCGTCCCCCTTCTTTGCATGTGGTCAGGTGGCTGTCACTGTCTCCAGAGTGGGTGGAGCTTATTTCCTTGCCTCACTGATGCTGAGTCTGGCCGTGGGCCTTGCTGTGGTCAATAGCGTGACTATGGAAGAGACGAATCATCAGATCTGAGCCAAGGCCTGGAGGTTCATAGCGTATTTCCCGTTGGTTGCCTGTACTCTTGTCACGCATCATGGGAAGAACATATCACAGATCTGTCTGTCCCAGGACAGCCTGACTCACATTCTGGAGCCACAGACAGATAAGCTGCAGACCACAGCAGAGTGGCAATTCTGCTGCTGTGAGCTGCTGAGATTCAGAGGTGGACTTTTTTTAATGCCTCAGACATTGACTAGTACGTACCCATACCCAACTGGCTGGTGGGAGGATCCTGGGCACAGAAGCTATGGGGAGACCTTTCTTTAATACAGCGGCCCACCTTGAGGGCCATAAAAGTGATAACCGTGTGGCTTCCCTCCAAGCCGTGCCTGGTCCTGGATGGTCAACAATCGGTACCCTCAAGTCTTCTGCTCAGGTAGAGGGAGGATGGAAGGGAATGGAAGAAAGATGCCGTGAGGGAATTTTCTACCACAGTGGCATCTAAACTATAGCCCGGACCTTCTACACCTGAGAGGGAGAAGAAATTGTGTTCCTTTCTCTAGTCCTCACTAATACAGCCAACTGTAAACTATAACCACCACCAAATTTCAGTTAAGAACCAGAACAAAGTATAGAATAAAAATTATATATGTATTTTGAGACAGAGTCTCACTTTGTTGCCCTGGGTAGAGTGTTGTGACATCATAACTCACAGCAACCTCAAAGTCTTGGGCTCAAGCAATCCTCTTGCCTCAGCCTCCCAAGGAGCTGGGACTACAGGCTCAATGCCACAACCCCAGGCTAGTTTTTCTATTTTTAGTAGAGATGGGATCTTGCTCTTGCTCAGGCTGGTCTCCAACTCCTGAGCTCAGGCAATCCACCCACCTCGGCCTCCCAGAGTGCTAGGATTATAGGCATGAGCCACTGCACCCAGCAGAAAATAAGTTTATTTGGCTCACAGTTTTGGAGGATGGGAAGTCCAAGGGCGTGGTGGCAGCCTCTGGTGAGAGCTTTCAGACTGTGTCATAACAGGGCAGAAAAGTGGAAGAGCAAGTGATCAAGTGTGAAAAGCACTGCAAGTGTGAGCTAAACTCGCTTTTGTAACAAGCTGCTCTTGTGACAAATGACTTAATTCTGGGAGAACTAAGTTACTTCTGAGATAAGGGCATTAGCCCATTCTTCAGGGCCCTGTCATCATAACCCAATCATCTCTTAAAGACCCCACCTCTTAATACTGTTACATTGGCAATTAAGTTTCTAACATGGGAATTTTGGGGGAACACATTCAAACCACAGAACTCTCTTTTATCCATCAAAGGGGCTAGGGGTGGGCCAAGAACAAAAAAAACTGACTTTGAAGTGGTAAATGCAGATTCCAAGGAGAAAGACAGAGTTTGAACTTCCAAGCACTCTAGAATACACCCGTGCAGATCTGTAAGAATATCATTCCTGTTTCCTAGAGGCATAGATAGAGGATGTCATTTACCATGCAAGACAACGTGATTGTTACACAGCACATGGGTCTCAAGGAATGGTGAGCTGGGCCAGGCCTTGGCATGCACTTCTGTACAGAACACATAATAATAAGCTTGGGCTTCTCATCTACCCCTCTTGAGATCAGTCTTTTCTCACTGTGCAAAACTGAGCCACTTTAGTAACCTCTCAGAGTCAACTGATTCCATTTATGGTATTGTCCTGAGAGCTGTATTCAATTTATCTTGTAATTTATCATTCTGGGTTTCCTATAGTCTGGAGAGCTCTGGACAGAATAATTAACTGGTGAGAATTGCTCATCAACACCCTCAATGATAACCACAAGATCAAACAAAGACCTATCTTTGATCTCAGCTTTTTCTTTTTTTTTTTTTTTTTTGAGACAGAGTCTCAAGCTGTTGCCCTGGGTAGAGTGCTCTGGTGTCACAGCTTACAGCAAACTCAAACCCTTGGACTAAGCCATTCTCTTGCTTCAGCCTCCCAGGTAGCTGGGACTATAGGCTCCCACCACAATGCCCAAATATTTTTTTGTTGCAGTTGTCATTGTTGTTTAGCTGGCCTGAAGCCGGATTTGAACCCAGCTCCTTCAGTGTATGTGGCTGGTGCTGTAACCACTGTGTTAAGTGCACTCAGCCTCAGTTTTCTCAATTGTAAAGGAGGAATAAAAATACATCCTAATTAACCCTCCTAGTTATGAAGATTGAAGATAATATAGGCATAGCATCTAGCCTAGCAGGTAGTAAGTAAACAGAAATAGTTTATCATTGTTTCTCGCAATTTCCTTTCCCCCTGGATCATCAGTTTATTCTCTCTGCATTTGATAGCAAGTAGCCTTTGTTATAAACATCCTAAGAAAATAAATTCTTATGGTTGACACCTTAAGAACTGAAGTCATTTCCTATCAGTATCCTCATCTCCAGAAGTTTCACTTTGCAATCACAGAGAAAAGTCCTTTGACACAAGGAAAGCTTCTGGGGATAATAAGGACAGTGACGGAAATCCAATTACTTTCTCTCTTTGTGGATGCCTTATAGGCTGATAATAGGTTAGATGGGAGATACCTCAGCAATGGAGAGATTTCCACTATCTCACAAAGAAAGGAAAACCACCCAAGGAAAAATTTAAGGGCAATATATTTAACATTTATAGATAAAATATTGCTCACCAGATAGAAAATAATTAAGTGAAATGCGAAATTTCACACTAAATCTGCAGTCAGTAAAAGGAGATAATTTTTGAAGGCGAGGGAGAAACTCGGCATGTTTAGAACCAAGCTCATCACGTTCCTCTCTTGACCTGTTTCTTTTCTTGTGCTTCCTCCTTCAGCTAATGCCACCAGAATCTACCCATTTTCCTGCCTGTAACCAGGGGATCATCATCCCTGTCTCCTCCTATATCTTTCTTAGCAGCCAACCTATCATGTTCTATAAAATCTAATAAACATTCCAGCATCTTCCACGTAGATGTCTGGATAAGACTTTTCTTTCATTTCTGACATCCCTAAAAGAAAATGTGACGATCCTGATGCAATTAGTCCCGGGAACACCCTTGTACACATGACTTAAGGGAATCATTTTCAAAGCGCAGAATGATGCTTTTTACTTGCGTAAATTATTTGGAGGATGGAATCACAGTATTTTGTGCAATTTCTTCCGGTGCTCCTTTACTTAGCCCAGTTAACAACTGATCGATAACAGCCAAATATGCAAACAACCAAGAAAAGAGCATCTTTCACAGGGGAAGCTTAGTAACAACATAGGCAAGAAGCCAAACAGGAACAGGGACGGGAGGGAAGGATTAGACACAAATGGATACATGTGATTTGGATCATGAATGAAAAGAAACAAAGTGGATTCTTTTCTTTCTGAATCCTTCAAAGGGCCCTTAGTTTATATACAGCCCCAGAATGGAGTTTGCTTTTGTCTGAAAAAGAACAAATTGGTGGTATTTTGTGAGATAATGAAGAGTGTGGTTTGTTGCACAGGTGACCTTAAAATAATCCTCTATGTTTTATATGGTTTAACAACATACGGGTCATCTTACCTGGGGGTTTTTAAATACAGCATACTTTTCTTCTTTTTCCAAAAATAGTACTTTATTTTCTGTGTCTCTCGTCCAGTCGGATAAGACTTCTACAACATTTTCGTGGTCTTCAAAAAACCTCTCTGATAAAATAAGAAAAGGTATTTTCAGGCCCAAGACCTCAGGGTTTCTGAGAAACAGGCTATTGTTGAGTTAAACATAACGCTTTGTAGTTTTTATCAGGTTTCTGAGATTCTTAATTCTCACATGAGTCATACTGTAACATTCCCGTTATGTTTATATTTTAGCATCAGGTTTTCAATTTACCCTCCACAAAATAGACCTGGAAAAACTCCTAATTCAGCGACAATGATCAACTATCCCATTTTTTCCCCTTTTTTCTTTCTTTTCTCTTAGAAATAAGGTCTTGGCAGAGCACGATGGCTCACACCTGTAATCCTAGCACTCTGGGAGACTGAGGGGGTAGATTGCTTGAGCTCAGGAGTTCGAAACCAGCCTGAGCAAGGGTGAGACTGCTGTCTCTACTACAAATAGAAAAATTAGTCAGGAGTTGTGCCTGTAGTCCCAGCTACTCGGGAGTCTGAGGCAAGAGGATTACTTGATCCCAGGAGTTTGAGGTTTCGAGGAGCTAGGACGCCAGGGCACTCTAGTCTGGGGCAACAAAGTGAAACCCTGTCTCAAAAAAAAAAAAAAAAAAAAAGAAATCAAAAAAGAAAATAAATGGGGTCTTGCTATATTGCCCAGGCTGAACTGCAGGGGCCATTCACAGCTATGATTATAGCACACTGCAGCTGGAGCAATCCTCCGGCCTCAGCCTCCCGAGTAGATGGGACTACAGGTGCACCACTGCACCCATATTTTCTCATATTAGCATTTTTTCCTTTAAATAATACCAGGTGGTAGAAAATTCTGTGAGGTGGGCAATCAGAGGATGATTAGTTAAATAGTTCTAATGAAATAATGAGATTTATGGTGCAGATTCTAAAATATCACTCCTTAAAACTGTAAAGACCACATATGAATACCTGAATTAACATACACATAAAGGAAGGTTTTCATTTCTCTCCTCGACTCACTCAGTGGAGGAAGACTTCAGCTCCGGCCCGTTGCCAGAACGACAGGACTCACCGATTTGTAGTTCCGGGTATGTTTCATAGAGACACCAGTCTACATTGCAGTCACAATGAGTTTTCTCAAAGAGGTTGTCCAGAACGTCTCGGGCCGCCTGCCGCTCATCCACCATCAGGGACTTGGTGCTGTTGTCGTTCATGTGCACCTTGACCACCAGCTGAGGATAAAGCCACCGTGCAGCCAGTCAATTTCAGCAACCAGAGAAGGTTGCTGAGATTAAGGTTTCAAATGCTATTGTTGCTACAAATTTCAGTAGGAATGTGTCCTGTGAACTCACTCAGTCTAAACTTACTCATTGTTTCGTTTAGGTGTTGTTTCAGGGGCTACCGATATAGAGGTGGGGAAACCAATTCACAAAAACACAAAACGATTAAAGACAAATTTGGTTAGCATTCAGAGATTTGGCTTTCTGGTGGCAGAGCCAGAGAACAAACAGAACCCAAGAAGGTCTGACGTCTTTCTTTCCCGACATCATTCCCTGTTACTTGTTCTGCTTCTGTCTTGGAAGAGCCTGCAAACATTTCTTGATTATATTTTTTTCATGCTTATATTTTTATAACACATTCTTCCTTTTTGCTGAGCTGGAAAGCAAACCCAAGAGTCTAAAGACACCAGATGAAACCAAGGTGGTTAATTTACAATTCTTCGAAGGTCCACGGAGTTTACTGTGGCACAGTGTCACCGAGGGACCTTCGTGAGGGCCAGACTGTATTACGACAGAGCACAGTTGAGATCAGAGGTGAATTAAGTGAAATGTATGTGGACAGAGAAACTAGCTGTTCTGGAGGCTTGTAAGCAAATGATGGATCTCGTTTATTTTCTATTCCAACTTTAAAATGATTCTATTGAATTGAATTCTCAATCAAATTGGTAGTTCCCTCATTTCGAATTGAGAAGTTGATGAGAGCACAACTTGATTATCTTCAATGAGGACACAGGGTATCGCTGGCTATTCTAGGCAACTTGTCAAAGTTATTAAACTGCCTGATCCCCCAGAGAGACTATGAGTCTGAGGCAGTGTAAGAATTAATGCATGAAGTGATGCAGGGAGGCTGTGGACTTTCTCGTAGCACATCTGTCTAAGGATGGTGATGATTTTCTATTTTTTTTTTTTT